CAAAAGGATTAATTGCTTAGTTCTCTTTGTCTTAGTCTTTGTTTTCTTAAATGCGGAAGTGTACCAACATCATCTAAATTACATAAGAGATCATCTAACAGTCTAAAATTGCTTTTAATTGCAAGTTAATGCATTCCGATCAAAATTTGTATACCTGTAATTTGGGGGGGGGGCGATGTTACATCACATAACTACAACGTCCATATAGAAATATACAATAAGCATGTCCGTATAAAAGCTAAAATTATAAAAACTCATTTCAAAGTCATTCTGTTCATGGAAGCGTCAAGTTATGAAAAACAATGCTAAACACTCAAACAAATCGACTTGATTACCTTTGAAAACTTCTTGAGAGGAAATGGACAAATGTATTTTTCGAACTCATTAGCACGTCTGTCTGATTGAAATACTATTTTTTAAATACAAACATAAATGATTTAATCTTGGTCAGAAGTCTGAACATTGTCCAACAAATTTAAAATAATAAGAATCTAACATTTAATGATTACAAAAGGATTAATTGCTATATAGTCTTTGTCTTAGTCTTTGTTTTTCTAACGGCGGAAGTGTACCAACATCACCTTGATTACAGAAGAGATCATCTAACAGTCTAAAATTGCTTTTAACTTCCGGGTTTTAATTACATTTTATGTATAAACTTTTTGCCTCTATTCTCATTTTTAAACCTGTTTCTGTTTGCGTATTTAACAATTGTGATAAATTATTCAGTTAGTGTCGAAATCAAAACAATTTTCTACATTAATAGCGGGATTAATAGTCCCCTCCTCTTGCACTGACTAAATATTAAAATAAGCCAGTCTGATTGCGAATTTACAAATACTGTAAAAGTAGCTTCAAACCGCTTTTTCATCAGAGAAAACAATAAGTTAATTCATCTGATTGCGAAAATACGAATCAATCTGATTATCTGATCTCCATGCTATTTGATTCGTGCATTATCTACAAGTCAGTCGGGCAAGGGTGAAATTATTTCATTTGAAAACAGAAATAAATATCAGAATCTCTCTAGCATAACTATTCGGAAGAGATTCATACAAAAATAAGGTACACAACTGATGAAGGGTCGCACGTAATGCACGCATCCCTCTCCTCCTCCTCCGTGTTTGCCATATACGACCATATTTGACAATTTTTCTAAAAGCGTTTTCCCCGGGAATATAGGTGTAGCGGTTGCCAGAAGTCGCACAGCTTGGGAGTCAGGGTATCCTGATCCATGCCTCAACGCCTGACGGGTCTGATATTTAGAGGGGGTGCAAAAATTATTAGGGGGCGGGGTAAACGTGAAAGTTGCCAAAATATCCATAGGCGTATAGCAACCTCCCCCATAACAATAAAAATAAAACGCTGAGAAAGAAGAAGAAGAAAGGAGCATTAAAATGCCACAATCATACCCTCCTGACTGAAAACCGAAATCTTTTTGGCGATCGCACCCCTCCCCCCTGACTGAAAGCTGGCTACGCCCTTAAAATCTGTTTTTGGTCATCAATAAAACTATATTTATATGGTGAGGATTTATGGATTTTGATAACAATAAGCTTTATATATGCTTTAATGTTTTATTTATCATGATGCTTTTATGTAGGCTATTAATTACAGTTCTTTTTGCAATAAAAAACTGGTATGTTTATGCAAATTCCGATTGGACCAATATAAAGGGATATTGTTTCATTATATGGACTTGAGAAAGTCCGACATACTCATTGCTTTCAACCCAAAACTTAAAATAGGAAGTTATCAAGATCCCAAGAACACGATCGATACTTAAACAATAGGTTTGTAAAATCCCGGCGATCGAAATGCAATGAAACTTTCGCAATCAGGTGCCTAATTAGTCTTTTGATCTCTAAAGTTTTACGACTGAACTTTTCAATGAACTCGTGAGAAGCAAACGCAATCATCATATAAACATTTTTCTAGTAAATCTAAAATAGAGTAAAACCCAGGGAAAAAGATCGCGTGGTTATTTGATTATTTCATAGGAATTAGGCATATTTCAATTTTGAAATAACAAAAGTCAGTCTCGGAAGAATTTTCCAAGCATTCCCTGCTTCGATGCGTTTTTATTGCAAGGGCCGTTTAGCGCCGATATGAATTCATTAGGGCATTAGGGTTGTGCTTTATTTGTTTTATTTATATAAATGTTATGAAATGTGTACGACACTTTAATGAATTATTTTTAGGGTTACAATGCATATTTGACTTTTCCCTCTAAACGTTTAAAATTCATCTTTATACTTTTCTTAGTTTGATTCAATAAAATTAACATTGGATCCCAGACAGTTATCAAATTCTCAGACATTTGATTAATATAGATATTTGTACTTCCTGTGACCAGAGGCTGGTGTGACTGAGATTCGAATCTAATCTGTTTCATTTTTATGTAAATTGAGAGGAATAAAGTTTTATTTTAAGCGTTTTAACAATCTTAACGTTTGGCGTGCAGCTCAACTTAATACACAATCAAAGGACTAAATACAGAAACAAGAACATGCCTTTTATTTGTTATTCAAGCTCGAGCAATATCCCCGGCGTTATAAAACCAAAATAACTGCGGTTAGGTAGCATCTTGATTACAGTAAAGACAGGCCATCTTATTTTTAGGAATTATTTCTGCCTCTCATTCCTTAAACCGGCTTCGTTAAACAGTGCCAAAATATTTAAGTCGGAGCCAAAAACAAGACTATTTTTATATTTAAATCCCCTCACCTTGTCAATGTCTATGCCTGCATCTGGTTTTCCCACCTTTGAGAGGGAGCCAATTACCCTGCGTGCAGAGTCTAGTTAAACTACACTCTGCCTAGTAGAGACCATATTTCAGTTCAGTAGTCCCGCCCCCATGATGGGTACCGGTGACAGTTTGGGTAATAAATCACTTTTGACCTACGCGCTGACCTTTCTTCCACCAATCAGCCAGCTTGAAGAAACGTACGCCAAATGCGTTCTAATTAAATATGCGCATGTCATTGGTCAATTCCGGGCTCAACAATGACGTCAGAAGGAATGACCATATATAGAACGTCGGTCAAATTTGGCCGACGAACACTGATTGGCGTGGTGAGTTCATAGGTTTATTTTAGTTTGAAAGAGTGAAGAAGAAGCTCTCTTTTAAGAAGTGAAGTCAAACGAATGCAAAGGGTAGGAGCCAATATACACATAGATTACTTACTGGCCATGGACAGGGGGGGGCACAGAAACGAACATTCTGGGGTCATAAGGGATAACTGGGGAAGGGGGGGGGGGGTGGTGGTGAATAGTGAAGTCCGGGAGTGAAGTTAAGGGGTACTGAAATCTTTCTTTTGATATTTAGTGCTTGAATGGAGACTTGTTTCCACTCCCAGCATTCTAGTAGAATTTAAATATTTGATCCAAAGGAGTTATTTTAAATCAAACTTCCATTCCGATTAATTAACACTATCATGATTGTACCGCTTCACTATTGTCTAAGATAATTATAATGAATTCACGGGACACTATAGTCTTCCTTTTAAACTTTAGTGGTTGGATGGAGACTTGTTTCCCCACCCCGTACACTAGTAAATTTGTAAACTTAAATTATTTGATTTAGGGAGGTATTTGCAATCCAAATCTGATGATGCAAGACTAGTCAGCCAAGACTAAATTATGAACTTATTATCATTTAGACTATTGAGTTCATTAAATTATAATTCCATAGATATCATATTTAATCCTGTCAACACAATAATGGTATTAATTGGCATGATATGTAATCAGAGACGGTTTAAAAAGTTGTTTAGATTAATGATAGTATTAGGAAAAATCCTAATTCAAAGTTTTAGTTCTCTCGCAATCCAGAGCAAACCACTCACCGGGCAAGCATTCTTTAAAATCGTTTTCACCATGTTGAGCAGTTTTGAAAATTGTCCAATTTGAACCATCGCCTTGTATATTTTTATAACTGCCCCCCCCCCCTTGACACTCGAGTGTAAGAATCCTTTCCACACTGTCAATGGTTTTACAAAATAGTTCATGTCCGGAAGGGGGAGGGGTGAGTGTGGAGAACAATCACTGACTGCGATTTGTATGTATTATTATATCTTGGTTACCCCCATATCTGGCGAGCATTGAACATTATACACTTATCATAAATTCGTAAAGAATAGTTTTAAAATAAACATGAGTTACTTGTAATTATCAGACCGATCTTTTATGAACAATATTATATATCAGACTCTTTTATGGACAATATTATATATGCGAAGAATTATTAAACGCTTGCTGCATGCAAACATACAACACTTTTTAATTGGAATACTTTACTTAGTTAATTAACACAGTTGTCATATGACACACGGATAAGACGTAACTGGTCCAAGGATAAACTCTATCTATCTTTCAATAGAGTGAACTTTTTATTCCTGAGAATTAGTAGTTAGTCGTGGTTATTACTTATGGCTAACACATAAAGTATTCTTTCTTAGTAGTGCTTACAAAATAGTGTTTCCCGTTGTGACATATTTTATAAGTTGTGTGAAAATTGACCACATATGCGATGAAAAGGGGAACTATTTTCCCCAAATTTTGGGGATTTGCTTCATCTGCCCGCCGCAGTGTCTATACCGAGACACTGCATTGGATTTCGGTTTACAAACATAAAAAATGGCAACGGATACACCGTTACTATGAGTACTCATGCTCATTCTAAAAATATAAGCTTTGACGTCATAACAATGATGTTTGGTTGCCATGCGTATCTAAGTATTTTCTATAACATTGATGTGACATCATAACAAAAACATAACATCCGGGACTTTCTACCGTGGTATATACTCCGTGGTATATACAGTTGAAAACGAGGCTGCAGCTGGACAATGCAGGAAACAATGAAATACACCCTAATATTTTTAATCATGTGATCGGTTCTTATCCAATGAGAAAGCGAGAAACATTTCAATGATATAATAATGTTCAGTATTTGTAAGTGCCTTAACAGCATATTATTAAACTGAAATATGTCTTACCCATGTTGTGACCCCAGAAGATACATGCGAACCATCCTTCTCTGTTCATCTGAGTGCTGTGGACAGCGATGTGACCTTGTGCACATTTTCTTGGTATGCTCAGATATTACACCACATTGCTGAAAAATATTGTACACCATATATACGATATAAAGCACACTGTAAAAACTTCCTTTATAAAAATAAGGTATCAATGCAACAGTTTAGTATATTAAAAGTATCAACAAAAAACCTACCAGTGATCGACCTGGTGCGTAAATATTTTAAAGTGTAACGCTCTGGACCAAATTAAAATGGGGGATGAGGAAAATTCAATAATTGATTTTTTTATTCATTTTATCAAATACACAGAGTAGGCCTATTCCTACTAGGTTTTGCAAGCAGATACCTTAAAGCAATTTAAACATTATGATAGTAGTCCATGGTATGAACTTCCTAACAAAGGACCTGGTAACACAATATAGTGCAGCGATATTTGACCTAATATTTGCATACCTACACATGTCTAGTATTGTTTTTTATAATAGCCGTTCAATATTCTTCAAATATTTTGGCTGAATTATGCATGTCATTAGCAGGGGTCAAAAATATTAGTAACGAGGCACACAACGTGAACAAGATCACACCATTGAAAAACCTTCAAAATGGCTGCCAGAAAATAAGATGGCCATCCAAAAGTTAATCAGCTCTAGCACTTGATATCCTCCATCATGTGTGTGAAATCTGATGAGTGGTTTTCCTGAAATGACATGTGTGGGAATTTGGAGAAATCCAATCTGGTTTTCCTGAATTAGCGATGACAAGATTTATCGAATAACCTTCAAAATGGTCGCCAGAAAACAAGATGGCCACCCAAAAATTAACCAGCTCAAGAACTTCTCTATATTACTCTATTCTCTTTCATGTGTGCAAAGGAGAGATGGCGCTAAACCCCTCTTTTAGAACCCCTACAAAACAAGTATACAGGGTGGTCCAAAAAAGTGAACCCATCCAACAGGCTATATTTTCCTTAATACATGCATGAATTGGCTCATATTATCACATCTTGTAGAGAAAGGTCTAAAATTTTTGTTGGTGCCATAATTTATTCTCAGTCTTAAACTTGAAGAAATTACAAGACTTAAACAAACATGCCTAAAATTAGATATTGTACAAAATGTCACCAATGTGATTTACGGAAATTGTTGAACACATTGGATGATCTTAAACTAGAAAAACAGCAACTCCACGGAGTAGCAAATCCCACCGAACAAAACATATTATGCTTATTATAGCTAGTGTAAATGTTGAAATGTTTGTGCACTTTGAGATAAAAGCATGAAATTTGGCACAAAGTTAGTTTATACCATTGTGAACTAGGCATCATCATATAAAATTTGAACCAAATCTGTTCACTGGTATATGAGTTATCAAAGATTACGTTTTTTACGAATATGGGCCGCCATCTTGAAATTCAGCCGCCATCTTGAAAATTATTTCTTGAACAGAGCTACTGTGTCCCTAGGCATAATCATATAAAATTTCAATCAAATCTGTTCACTGGTATTTGAGTTATCAAAGATTACGTTTTTTACGAAAAATTGCCGCCATTTTGAAATTAAGCTGCCATCTTGAAAATGTTTTGTCGAACATAGCTACTGTGTCCCTAATAATCATCATATAAAATTTGGACCAAATCCGTTCAATGGTATTTGAGTTATCAAAGATTACATATTTTTACGAAAAATGGCCGCAACTTTGAAATTAAGCGGCCATCTTGAAAATCTCATTTTTGCGAAACTCCTTTGTCCCTAGGCATCAGCATATAAAATTTGAACCAAATCCGTTCACTGGTATATGAGTTATCAAAGATTACGGTTTTTAAGGAATTTGGGCCGCCATCTTGAAATTCAGCCGCCATCTTGAAAATTATTTCTTGAACAGAGCTACTGTGTCCCTAGACATAATCCTATAAAATTTCAACCAAATCTGTTCACTGGTATTTGAGTTATCAAAGATTACGTTTTTTACGAAAAATTGCCGCCATTTTGAAATTAGGCGGCCATCTTGAAAATGTTTTGTCGAACATAGCTACTGTGTCCCTAAGCATCATCATATAAAATTTAAACCAAATCCGTTCACTGGTATTTGAGTTATCAAAGATTACATATTTTTACGAAAAATGGCCACCATTTTGAAATTAAGCGACCATCTTGAAAATCTCTTTTTGTGCAAAACAACTTTGTCCCTAGGCATCAGCATATAAAATTTGAACCAAATCCGCAAACTAGTATTTGAGTTATTAAAGATTATGTTTTTTACGAAAAATTGCCGCCATTTTGAAATCAAGTGGCCATCTTAAAAATGTTTTGTTGAACATAACTACTGTGTCCCTAAGCATCATCATATAAAATTTGAACCAAATCCGTTCACTTGTATTTGAGTTATCAAAGATTACATATTTTTACGAAAAATGGCCGCCATTTTGAAATAAAGCGGCCATCTTGAAAATCTCTTTTCGTGCGAAACTCTTTTGTCCCTAGGCATCAGCATATAAAATTTGAACCAAATCCGCAAACTAGTATTTGAGTTATTAAAGATTACATTTTTTACGAAAAATGGCGGCCATTTTGAATTCAGTGGCCATATTGAAAATTCCTTCTTGAGCAGAGGTCCTACACCCATAAGGCATAAGCCTATAAAATTTGAATCAAATCCGTGAAACGGTATTTGAGTTATCGCCCGGACAAACAGACGGACGGATGGACGGCTTTCCTATATCCCTCTCGAACTTCGTTCGGTGGGATAAAAAGCTTACAGTGAGAGATATAAGTTTAAACCATACTTTATGACAAATGAGACACTATTTAGGGCAGAAAGCACATTTCACACTTTCATTTACCATTTTAAAGCAGTTTTAGCCATTCAACAATTAAGGGGCATGTTACCTACACCATGGGTTTTCAACTAGATAGCCCATGCCTACACAAACGGTTAGAGGGGGCAAACTTAACCCCTTTGACCCGAAATCTGAGAAGCCCTTCATATAAAAATCTTACAAAATTCATAAGCAAATCTATAATATGTACAATTGTACAACTGACTCTGTACATTCAAGAGGAGTTGCGATACTTATATCAAAAAAGATAATATCATCTGTTAAGAGTACTGTATGCTCAAAAGATGGAAGACAGTTGCTAATTAATGTTGAACTCGATGGTACGAAATTCACATTAATATGCGTTTATGCACCAAATAATGCAGGACAGAGAATAGATTTTTTCAATAAAATGAATAAATGGATAAAGAGTAATAGAACTGATAACTTCAATTTAATCATTGGTGGTGACTTTAATGTTACTCTGACTAATCGGGACAAGTTTCCAGAAAATCAAAACAATGTTGATAATAGTAGAAATGTGCTTAAAGAATTAATTGATGATAATGAGTTAATGGATGTATGGAAAACCTTAAATAGAAATAAAGAGGGTTTCACTTTTCATGATAAAAGGAGTGGCTCAATGAGCCGGATTGATTATTTATTTATTTCTAAGACTAATGAAATAGAACTTACGAAGTCATACATTATGCAGGTACTTAAAGCAGATCACAAAAGTATTATACTAGATTTGAAAATATTAAAAAATAAAAGGGGGAGGGGCTATTGGAAATTCAATGGAAGTTTTCAAGATGAAAATTTTAATAAGGCACTTAAAGACTACATGTATATTAAATGGCTTAAGATAAGATATAAAGATATACCATCAAAACGAGTACTATGGGAATTAATGAAGGGCAAGGTTAAGGCTTTCATAATTTCATTTCCTGTTAATAAAGCAAAAAGCACAAAGAATGTTAAAGTAGAATTGCAGGAAAAGATAGATGGAATAAGTATGTATATAGACAAATGCACAAAAGAAAATATCAAACTTAAATTGAACAAGCAAAAGACAATATTAATAGATAGATTAGATAAAGAATATGAGAAAACTGTAAAAGGTAATTTCATTAGGTCAAAAGCTAAATGGATGGAAAAGGGCGAGAAAAGCTCTTCATACTTTTTAAATTTGGAGAAACAAAGGCAAACAAATAATGTTATTAAAAAGGTGAGGACGAGACATGGTTGTGTATACAATGACAATGAAATTTGGAGGAAACTGCACGTTTCTACGAAAAATTATATAAAGCCGATGAGATAAATGAAAGTCAAATAGAAAATTATCTTGAAAACATAGATTCATTAAATACACTTAGCGAGGTCGATAAATTGAATATAGATAAGGAAATAACTCAAGATGAAATTAGAACTGTAGTAAAGAATCTTAAAAACAACAAAAGTCCAGCTGCAGACGGATTTACTCCGGAATTCTATAAAGCTTACTATGATTATTTTGAAGATGTTTTTGTTGACATGATTAAGGAAGTTTTCATTAAAGGGGAACTTTGTGACTCAATGAAAGTAGCCATTTAACCTTAATTTTCAAAAAGGGTGAGAGAGATCTACTGAAAAATTATAGACCAATAAGTTTAACTAACTACGACTATAAGATAATAGCATTTTTGATTGCTAGGAGGATAAAAGATGTAGTTAGCAATGATCAATCTGCATATATTGAGGGAAGAAATATCAGTCTAAATGCTCGACTTCTTATTGATTTAATTGATTTAACGAATTGCGAAGGGATAAATGGTGCACTAATTAGCTTAGTCTTCCAGAAAGCTTTTGATAGTTTAAATTGGACTTTCATGTTCAAGGTTCTAAAAAAGATGAATTTTGGTGAAAATATTCTAAGATGGATTAAGATTCTATATAATGACCCTAAATTGCAAGTTAAAAACAATGGATATTTATCGAGAGTTGTATCCGTTAACAGAGGCATAAGACAAGGTTGTCCAGCATCTGCGCTGATATTTATTTTATGTACAGAAGTCTTGTCATTAAAATTAAAAATGAATGTGGATGTAAAAGGGATAGAAAATAATAATGGTTCACTTAAGACAATTCAACATGCTGATAACACAACATTAATACTTGGTAATAAACAATCAATTCCAAAAGCTATAGAAATCATAAATAATTTTTCTAATGTTAGTGGTTTGAAGCTTAAATATAGAAAAAACAGCTGGAATATGGTTGGGA